GGGGGGGGGGGGGCCCAGATGCTCACAGAACAAGATGCGCACGAACCGTTTCCCCACGGGCCACTTGCCCACGGACCCAGTTGCCCACGGCGCACAGGCTGATATTTCAGTCGACCCAGATGCCCACGGACGGACCCACTTGCCCACGGACCACTTGCGCATGGATTGAAATCTTTGTCGACTCAGATGTCCACAGCCCATTTACGCATAGATTTCTACACTACTAGCGGATACCGTATCGTCGTATATCAATATAGGATGGACCATTAAGGTAAATTAGGTTAGGTTAGATTAGGGTAGAATGTTTAAACCCCGGAGACTGGGTTGATTAGTGGGTAAGTATATCGTCGGCGAGCGAACGAAGCGAGCAAGGCCGACTGAAGAGAGCATTAAATGTTTTAAAAGGTTCCGTCAGATAATGATAACTTACGATATCCTTAAATTACTGATCGAATATCGTTCAGGAGGCAGAAATTCGCTTTTGTGTTCATTTGGATTTGTGCGCAACTGGGCATCACCCGATTTCAATCTGTACGCAAGTGGGCCGTGGGCATCTGGGTCAGCGAAGATTTCAACCCGTGCGCAAGTGGTCCGTGGGCAAGTGGGTCCGTGGGCATCTGGGTCGAGGGAAATTTCAGCCTGTACGCAAGTGGGCCATGGACAAGTGGGTCCGTGGGCATCTGGGTCGACGAAGAATTCAATCCGTGGGCAAGTGGGTCCGTGGGTATCTGGGTCGACTAAAATTTCAGCCTGTGCGCAAGTGGGCCGTGGGCAACTGGATCCGTGGATGTTACGAGATCCGTGCGCAAGTGGGCCGTGGGCAGGTGGATTAAGGTATATTTCAATCCGGGCGCAAGTAGTCCGTGGGCAACTGGGTCCGTGAGTAAGTGGGCCGTGGGCAAACGGGTCGTAGGCATATAGGTCGACGGAGATTTCAATCCGTGCGTAAGTGGGCCGCGGGCAACTGGATCCGTGAATGTTACGAGATCCGTGCGCAAGTGGGCCGTGGGCAGGTGGGTCAAGGTATATTTCAATCCGTGCGCAAGTAATCCGTGGGCAGCTGGGTCCGTGAACAAGTGGGCCGTGAGCAAACGGTCTGTGCGCATCTGGTCCCGTGGGCAAGTGGTCTGTCCGCATCTGGGCCCCTCTCGTCAAAGGCTGTAGAGCAGGCACAGATATAATTTTGGTACGATTAAGTGCAGGGGAGGAACCCCCTAGCGCGAGTTAAGAGGGAATATACACCTGGCAGGGTTCAAAAAATCGATTTTTCAATTTTTACATTTTCTTCAAGTTTTATATGTTAACAATGTCAGATGAAAAATTTTAATAAAAATTCCAAAAAATGACAAAGTTATAGCCCAAATAGTACATGCGTTCGTTGGACCGGCGCCGCGCCGCTTCGGGTCATAAAGGTAGTACAGCGCTGTCCATTCGGTCTTATTGTGCCCATTGTGTTTTTTTTTTTTTTTGTATATCAGTATTTTATTGGTCCTGCATAGTCTGTTTGGGTTGACTATTTTAAACATAACGGTTATCCTGACAGAAACTTTGCGTACTTCGTCAGTAGTTTTCCGTCCATGTAACTGTGCCATAGAGCAAGTATCGAAGCCTTCGTTTGTGAATAAAAGTATTCAGGAGTAAAGGTGGAAAGTAGTAAAGGTTCTCGAGAAAGTCACAAATCGAGTGAATTGCGGAAAGATCGCCAAAAAAAAAGAAATCGGCGCCTAAAAATCGATACGACGCAGAAAGAACGGAATCGAATGTTAATGTCAGTGCCAAAAAATTGAAGACTACACGAGATGTTCCAGTGCCAGAAGACGTAGGTAGACGATATGGGCGTACCTTCCACTTCGGAGAACCTATATTATGGACCTGGTATCGATGACTCTGTGTAAGTTGAATAAATTTCATGATTTATCCATCGAAACATTTTCAAACGCGTTTTTCTCAAAACAACGTTTTTCAAATCGATATCAAAAATATCTCGAAAACCACTGAACCGATTGACTTGAAATTTGTTGTGGTTATTTCATACATAATTATCTAGTCTGTGTCATAGGATTTTTTTCCGATTTTTTTTTTTTTTTTGCAAAATACGAACGAATTTTTGCATGAAAATGGCTACATTGAGTTCGAGTGTCCGCCATTTTGTCAAAAATCGATATTTTTAAAATTGACTGTGACAAAGACAAGATAATAGTATCTATTTTAATATCCTGTTTGATTTTTTGTTTCAGATGATTTTTGACCAAACGCCAGTGGGTACCGAAATGGCCAATTTTTTTACGACACTCCGTAGACGACATCACTACTCCGTCAATTTGCAACATTTAAAAAAAAAAAAATTAAAAACATTCCTGAAAGTGTATATTTTTAACTAGAAAAAATCCCAACCTGATAGTTCCAACACTTTCCCCGAAAAAAGTTCTGGAAAATTACCTTGTTTTTTCGTTTCCAGGTGTATATTCCCCCTTAAGGATGAGGTGCCCAGCTGTTCGCTTGATGCCTTAGGGAAGCGGTCGTGGAGGATCTCCAAAAGTTACGTACCGATTCGGTAGGGAACGCTCTCGATTTGGTTTAAAGCGACAATTCAAGAAAATGGATAAGAGTTAACAGTTATAAAGATCTCGATGAATCAGAATGATTAGTTCTCGATACCTCGAGCTGGCGTGCGGTGCGATGCTGTCTGTTGATAATTTTTTCTAGCTTTGTTTCGATACGGTATCGAAGGTACTCGCCTATGTAGTTCTCGCGTTGCTCTTGCGATATACAGGAAATTCTATGGATTTTATGTGTGTATTCCGGAGGTGCCCTAATGCAATGCCCACCTCAGTGTCCTCTGGATACAGTTCTTGGCCTTCGCGGATTAACTGCATCAGCTTCGGTAAGAACTTCCGATTTATTAATTAGTGAAGGGATTTCGGTTGATAGTTCCGATTCGTTCTGTTACATTCTCGATCATTTGCTCTCTGTATCCTACACTATATGCTTGGCGCTTACTCCGATCCTCTCTAATTCAACCTAGCGGCCTGAGCGGCCGTACATTCCCGTAACCGTGCGCTCCCATTCTTGAATCTAGTTGCGTTAGCTGATTCTACGCAATCCCAAAGATCAGCATCTACGGTTGCGTTTTTCAATTTTACGCGTCTCCGAAATCGGCAGAATCCGTTCAGCTACGGTCTTTTTTTATAGGTTCCGTCAGAGTTCTCATTTTGGCGGAATTGAGACTGTTCCACTTCATCTCCCAGGTCATAGCAGCTCGTCAGTTCCCAGCGAAAAAAGAATCGATTCGCGCCCGCCAGCCATGCGCACGCATGGACGAAATTCATTATCGGTGTAGAGCTAAGAAAATACGTTACAATTCTTTGTTTATAAATATGGACAATTTGGGTTAGAAACAATTATAGAATTGTCTAGCCTGTTTTATTAAAAATATGACATTTCCAATTGTGAGGGAGTGGTAAGAAGGTCTACAAGTTTCCGTTTTACGCTTTCGATGCGTCTTTTGCTATGATTCTTTGCGAGTCGTGATCCGATAGGAGTCGTGGCAGGCTGCACTGGGCTCCTCTGTTTCTGGTTTTGCGGAGTAGGCGACACTGGACTCAGAGGCTTCGGGACCGGGGAGAGTTGGACGGCCAACTTCGTATCGCCAAAAGGGGTTGATGGCAGGCGTTTTGCAAACGGGTGCAAAGGCTGTGGTGGTACGACTTGCAGGAGCGGAGCCGAGCATTGCAACCGCTACATGGACGTGACTAGGGCGAGGTCGAGAAGTAGAGGCGCGAAAGTGTTCAGAGCACCTTGACGCCACATGGCGCTAACACGTCGACGGTTAGTATAAATTCCGTTCCGACGGCATATCAGTCTACAGAGACAAGTGTCTTATAGTACCGACTGAAAGTCCTTATCAGAGTCCTAGCAGCAAGGTACTAGGATCACTTCAGCAACTCACCAGTTCCTGGTCGGTCAGTCGGGGAAAAACTGACTGCTTTTACTCAGAATCATCGGTTTTTTTACCCTCTGACTTGAAGTTAGCGCGCAAACATCTCCTTTGTGATAATACCGCGCAACAATTCAAATTTCGAAACGAACTTGGCCAACGAACATGGCCAACGGTCCATAGAACTATTTAGGGGATATGTGCTGTAACGTATCTTTCTTAACTCGACACCGATATTGAAAAATCCGAGAACTAACTTGAGTTACCTTCGGCCGTCCACCCTTCGCTCATGCATCCACAAGCCAGGCGGGCGCCATCCAATTTTTTTTTTTCACTGGGACTTGACGAGTTTGTGTGACCTGGGAGTTGGGTTGGAACAGGCCCAACTCCACCAGAACGAGAGCTCAGACGGAACCTATCAGAGAATGCGATAACTTAACGGATCCTGTCGATTTTTGGGGACGCGTAAAATCAGCAAACGCAACTGGATGTATGAACCGGAGCGGACGGTTACGGAAATGCACGGCCGCTCAGGTTGCTAGGTTGAGGTAGAGAGGGTCGGAATAAGCGTCAGGGAAATAGTGCGGGATACAGAGAGAAACGGATCAAGAACGTAACAGAACGAATCGGAGGTATCAAATCAAAATCCCTTCACCAATTAATACATTGGGAGTCCTCATCGGAGCTGGTGCGTCTAATTCGTGAAGGCCGAGAACCGTATCCAGAAGACATTCGGGTGGGAACTGCGCTAGGACACGGCACTACACCTCCGGAACACTCACAGAAAATCCATAGAATTTCCTGGATATCGCGAGAGTAGCGCGAGAACTACACAGGCGAGAACTTTCTATACCGTATCGAAACACAGCTAGAAAAACTATCAACAGATTGCATGGAGTGCGAGCTAGTTCGTGGCACCTCGGTCGGTGCCCCGAGACAGACTCTAGCCAAATTCGAGAAATCATTCTGATTGGTCGAGATCCTTATAGCCGATAACTCTTCCTTTCTCTTGAGTCGTCCCTTTAAACTAAATTGAGAGCGTTCCTTAGCGAATCGGTACGTAACTTTTGGAAATCCTTCACTGCTACTTCCCCAGGGCATCGGGCGACAGCTGGGCACCACATTCTTAAGTCGTATCAGCGGGTTTCTCCCTGCCCTTAATCGTGACAAAACTATACCGCCGCTTGTTCTACAGCCCTTTGCCTCTCTCCAGCGTAACGTCATAATTTCACCCAGGCTTCTGCCGGTCCGTGGAGATGTCTCCGTCGGGTACTCTCCTCTGCCGGCTAAGTCGGTACGTCGAGACTATGTCCCCCGCAGCATATTCGAGCACCTTGACCTTAACTAAATAATAACGAAATCTTTCGAGAGCACTGGCATAATTATACTAATCACCCGAGAGCGTAGTTTCTGAGCAGGGTGGCGATCCGAAGGGAACCAGAAAGCAAGAACTTTATCTGTATCTGTAGCGGGAGTCGCTTTGTGACCGTGAATCGAAAAATTACGTCACAACACATGCGGGAGTTATTACCCAGGCGAGGCTTTTAAAATTACAGTCTCCAGCGGATAACAAATTCACTTCAAAACTGATTAACAGTTTTCAATTTTGCAAGTACCGTTTTCTTCAGAATATTACCACGATTCTAGTGGTTTATGTGTGATGCGAGACTTTTCGGACACCCTATATATGATAGCAACTGCATCTCAAAATCACATAATAATTCAGAAGTTCAATAATTGAAAAATTATGTTTTTATTTCTTCAGGGCATATACGTGACTGAATTACACGAAGGTTCTCCAGCAGCAAAGAGTGGCTTAAGAATGCACGACAAGATACTACAATGCAATGGGTACGATTTTACAATGGTCACACACAAGAAAGCTGTAGGCTACATTAGAAAACACCCTGTGCTTAATTTACTAGTAGCACGTAAAGGTGTAACTAGCACATGAAGGAGAAAAGCCGACAACAGCGTAACAAAACTTTAATTATGATCCTTAGGCGTAACGAGATTTTTAGACATAGACACATATATAAATATAATTTAAGAAGTTAACTAATAGTTTAAATACTTCAGCCAGTTAAATTTGGTTGTCATTTCTGTATATATTAAGCTATTCTTGAAATTTGTTTGTAAAAAGTATTACTAACTCTTGTACGGTTTGGATTTTATAATTGTTCTCTGCATCTTGTTCTTTGCGTATCACTTCGCACGTCGAAAATATAATGAAGAATATTAAGTGTCTGATTTAATAAACCAATAGGAGTCAACAATGTCAGAATTAAGTGCATACGATATGAATTTATATTTTTCCTTTATAATGCTAAAAGATGATTTTAGTGTTACTATTTGTATAATTAAGAAACAACAATAGAATTACGTAGTATGATGAAATAATCTATAGAATAACTAGAACACCCTACCTCTATATTATACCCTCTGCAAATTTGATTCCAAATATATAGGTTACTTCATAAGATATAGCAAAATAAAACTTTCATAATGTAATTTAAACATATGCACTTGATGAATTATAATATAAGTTGTAACATTATTATACAAATGTTTGCCTATTTGATTCGAATAACTATTTCATTAACTTCCTAACTAATATTATAAATCGAAAAGTATGTTTGGATGTTTGTTTTTCAATCACGCCGCAATGGCTGAACTGAATTAACACATTAGGATGCTTTTATCCTTGAAACATGAACAGTCCCTTAGAAATAAAAATAATTGCACACAAATAGACTCCAAGCGGCGGCGCCAAAAGTACCACGAGGAACCACATATAGCTACTTATTATTAAAAATAAGTTGCAAATATACAATAACACTTTTCAACATGCCTTGTTATGTGCTCGATTGTTATATATTTGCGATGTATTAGCCAAGCTCAAGCAAAAAACTAATTTTTTCTACTCATTGCGAACCGGCACTGATGGACGTTAAGTTCAACACTAAAACCATTGCCCCTCTCTCTTGCTCACTTTAATGATACTAAGGAGAGTTGGGCACCAGGTATCCTTTGCGGGAATACCGTGAGTGCTAAGCTCTCGTTCACTTAATCGAAGTCATCAAATTAATTCGGAACAGGTCAGGTACACTTTAGCGTACTGATTTGAATGTTTAATATTTATACTAAAGCGATATTATACTACTGGATGTTTAGTATTTATACTATGTTTAGTAACTCTACTAAACATCCATGTAATGGAATCGGGGACTATGTCAATAACCTAAGCAGAGACTCCCGTTTACAAAACTGTACCAAAGAGTCTCACGGGATCAAAAAAACAGCGCCACAACCTAAGACGAGTCTCCTGTCTACAAAGTTTCACAAATTTACCAAGGGACAAGGACCTACTCGAATGATCTTCACCACTGCAGAGTAATCGAGAGAGGGGCGCTAATGCAAAAGATCATCAAATGCCTTGTAAGTAAATTAGTCAGGAGCGTCGTGCGCTCAGGAGAACAGAGAAGATTAGATTGAAAAGTAAGGAAAACCAATTAAATAGTTCTAACGTATTGGAGCTGTATTTTAAAAGGCAATTAACCAAGCAAACAAATAGAAAATAACAACGAAAAGTGTTGTAAACTACAAACATGTGGCAAGCCGAAGGCAAGGGTCAAAGAGAGAACAAGGAAAAAATGAGAATAATGAGCTAAATGAAAAGAATATTAATGACGGACGACACGATTATGTGTTGAGTATAGTATAAGCTTATAACATAAGCTAATAAACATTCGCCTTACCAATTTTGATCTAGAATGAAGAATTTTATACAGGGTGTTCCGAAACTACCTGTCCCGGTGGGTATGGCGGTGTTCGGGAGGCTTCACTGATCACGAAAATGACCTTCTTTTTGTCCGAAAGGTCATAGTTTTTAAATGGTAGCAGGTCCAAGTTGACCAATCAAAGCGCGGCGTCAAGAGAAATGTAGGCACCTACGAACTCTGAGTTTTCTTCCCTCTCTTTTGTTTCACGGTGGCTTGTTTCTTGTTTCTTGTTTCCAATAGGCATGTCTTCGGCTGACGTCATCCTGCCCGAAGCCGCCAAGAAACAAAAACGAGGGAAGAAAACTCAGAGTTCGTAGGTGCCTATGTTTCTCTTGACGGCTCGCTCTGATTGGTCAACTTTGACCTGCTCCCATTTAAAAACTATGACCTTCCGGACAAAAAGAAGGTCATTTTCGTGGTCAGTGAAGCCTCCCGAACACCGCCATACCCACCGAGTCAGGTAATTTTGGAACACCCTGTATAGGCGACGAGGTAACCCCAAATCAATTTAACAATATTTCTTAAAACAAATTAACAAAGCAAAGGAAACAAAATCTATATAAACTTCAGCGAAATTAATCTAAGAAAGAAAGTATTATAAACATGCGGCGGGAAATATTTGTTACGTAGGCCGTAGTGGCTAGCGAGGCCTTTAAATTTGATAACAAAAATTTAGAAGTAACCAAAAGAAAAGGAACGACCGGAGATAACGTGAATAATATTTGAGTGAATTCCGAGCGGTAAGAATGCACTCAATGGTGGGTTCGCTGCTTTAAGGTGTTGAAACACGCCTTGCTACTCCAACGTGGATAGATATTCTCTGAAATGTTTGAGGATGGGTAATAGATATTTAAAACGCGAGTAAAATGTAAATTTGCGATATATTGTTACAAACAATTTAGGTTTTCAATTAATTGCCGTGTACAGTGTTTCGATTATGAGAAATACTGGGATATAAAATATTGTGAAAATTGGATTACAAAACCTGACTGTGTGTATGAGGTGAAGGCAAAAGAAATTTGGTGGAACAGAAAATTGTCTAGTATATGCGTTACTTGGAAAGAGTAGTCTATGCAGCTCAGTTTTACCCGGTAACCGATCCAGCTTATTCCCTAGGATATGTAATAACGAATCCGTACCTAGGCCAGATTGCGAATATTACACTGAATCTAATACTCTAACGGTTAGAGCCACGAGTGACAACGTGCAGTCCGATCTTTTACGCGTGAAACTGAATGATTTTCTGAGCGTCAGTGCCATGATTTTGGCTACTTATATAGTCGATTTTTCCTGATGCTCTAGATACGGTTAGGACGTTAGGAATGCGCTCGGCTAACCAGCTGGATAGGTGGGTAACATGCTGAGTCTGCAATTATGTTTCCTGTCGGCTACGTTATTCTTCTGTTTCGGAATGAAGGTCGATATACGTAACAATTGAAAAAAATTATTTTAATTAATAATTTTAAAAAACTTCTAGTATGCTCCATTTTCAGCGCGGCGAAGCGCACGGTCTTGAGCGGTTACCCCGCTACACGTCTCTTCGCACTTCGAGCGGCTCACTACCCCACTACGCGCGCCAAGCGATTGTTCCCCGAGTACCTCGAGTAAAACTCGCAAAACTTAGGCGTTTTTTCAAATGAAAAATTTAACCCCTTAGCAAACTTATTTTTGGATGTTTGAAGCGGGTTTACCCGGCCGGTAACGTTTTTAATTATCCTAAGAAGGTAAGTGTAGCCGGAGTAAAGTAGAACACAGTGTTTTGTAAGAAACATTATATATATTATAACGCTGTTGAGTGTGATACATTTTCGATCATTAGCGCATTATTGAGGGTGGGTGACAAAATTTCAAAGGATGAAAACTTAAAATGACTGAGTTCTCGAATTCCAGTTTAACGAACGGACAAATATGGAATGAACAATCCTACGAACAATTTTTAAATAGTAAATAAAAATGGAAAATACAAAGATGTCGAATTGAATTTATACCGAAGATAAATATGAAAATGAGCAAAATTACGAGTGGTGAAATATCATATCGACAGAAGTTCGAAATATCCAAATTCGAGTCTTTTAAATACAGAATTACGAATATTTAGAACGTTTGCTATTTCGAATTTATTAAAGCGAAAGCTTGCAAAGCAGTATGGTCAAAATAGCGAAAGACCAAAATGTGGAATGGCTAAAATAACGAAAGCGTAAAACCACATATCTTATTCCTTTTACTACTAGGGTAGTAAAGTTTTGGTAGTAAGGGTATTGACTACCTTATTACTACGGTTTATGTAATATCATGTAAAGAAAAAGGTGGATACAAGTCTCCCTATTTGAGTGTTCACCCGGTTTAAAATCGTGGATCTCGAGGAACACACGAATTCTTTCGACCCTACGGTTTATGTAATATGCAGTAAGAAAGGGTGGATTCAAGTCTCCCTATTTGAGTGTTCACCCGGTTTAAAATCGTGGATCTCGAGGAACACACGAATTCTTTCGACCAATCAAAAATGTGGAACTAGTTCGAGAGTCTCGTTCAGATGGCGCGTCGACGCGCCAAAACACAGCTCCAGATTATCACGCGTAGTATTACTATATATACATGACCAATCAAAAACGTGGAACTAGTTCGAGAGTCTCGTTCAGATGGCGCGTCGACGCGCCAAAACACAGCTCCAGATTATCACGCGTAGTATTACTATATATACATGACCAATCAAAAACGTGGAACTGCTTCGAGGGCCCTCCGCTAAGGTGGCGCGCCGAAACCAGAGAAAAATTGAGATCACCAAAAACAGGCTCATTGGCAATCTCCCTACTCATCTTTGTATCGGCTTATTGGCAATCCTCTACCCATCTGTGCTGATAGTAAGATTCTGTAGTTCGGTTAGTAATGGAGTGTATAGTTGCGAATGTGGATCACATGCGTTTTGATATAGAAATAGCTCTTGATGAACAGTATGGAGCATTACCGCTACCATTTACAGGAATGGATAGTACGTATTATTTTCAAATATGCGCATAAATACGGTTATGTTGTTACAAGTTCATTATTTTTATGTTGAATCTATGTAAACATTCATTGTGTGATTCGGCATATAGTGTAAATATATATATATATATATATATATATTAGAGTTATTTATTGTTCTTAAAATATTTAATTTATTTCATTTTTGTATTTTGTAATTGATTTCAGAGTCAATAGCTGCGGTGTGCCAATTTTATCCACGAGGAACATGCATTAAAGGTGCATCATGTCCATTTAGACATGTTCGTGGTGATAGAACAATCGTTTGCAAGCATTGGTTACGAGGTTTATGCAAGAAAGGGGATCAATGTGAATTTTTACATGAGTATGATATGACCAAAATGCCAGAATGTTATTTTTATTCCAGATTTAGTAAGTATTATGTATGTGGTGACAATCTATAATCAAATAAATTATTAATTTTTTTTGAATTAACAGATGCATGTCATAATAAGGAGTGTCCCTTTCTGCACATTGATCCAGAAACAAAGGTTCGTGACTGTCCATGGTATGACCGTGGATTTTGTAGACATGGACCCCTATGTAGACATCGTCATGTACGTCGCGTTCTCTGCATGGCCTATCTGGCTGGTTTTTGTCCTGAAGGACAGAACTGTAAATTTATGCAGTAAGCAAAAAGTTCTAGAAACCAAGCAATAATGATAATAGTAAAAAAATAAACATCTATATTTCTATTGTATGTTTACAGCCCACGATTTGAATTACCAGCAGTTCAAGATATGCAACCAAAAGAAGGAAAGAAAGTCATGATTACATGTCATTTTTGTGGAGAGGGTGGCCACAAAGCAATATATTGCAATAAAATGCCAGCTGATGCAAAAGAAGCACAGGTACGCTTGGAAATGGAAGGAGGATCTCACGCATCCCATCATCATTTGAATGTACATAATGGTCCACCCACAAGAGGACCTCAAAAACCTTTGGAGGAAGTTACCTGTTATAAGTGTGGTACTAAGGGACATTATGCTAATAAATGTCCCAAGGGACATCTTGCGTTCCTAAGTCATGCTAGTGGTGGTGCTGGACAAAATCCCAATTATAGAAGATGATAAAATATTAATTCTTGTAAATTATTCATTAAAATTAATTACATATTAACGCTTTAGTTGGATATCGTAATATCAATTAGAAAAATATCTTGCATATGTAGAATTTTTGTTATGGGTGTTCAAAATACATTTTGGTATTCGCAAATATAGTAGAACGTTGGTGTACTGATTATTGATGATGTTAGCGTCAATAAGAATATAAAGAATAAAAAAGTAAATACCTAGCGCATACATAACGACACAGTTATATAACACCCAAGTGCCAATACTTTATAATATGTAGAACATGGATATTCATACACCAAAAAATGTATGAATCCTTCCCAGCTAACACGTATTATTGCCGCAATATAGCGTGTTAAGAACAATGTTATTCTAACGTTGCAATAGAAGTAATGCCGAGAATATGTTTCAAATTTGTTATACAATAGAAACAAAGAAAATGCTAGTAAATATTAAGCAAAAACTCGGCAATAGTTGCAGCAAGTGAATTAAATTTTTGTGCGCAACTATTGTTGCAAATTCGTTAGCAGAAGTAATTACTTCAGTAAAATAAAAATTTGTTAGCAATAAATTATTGTTTTACTTCATGCAATCTAAACGTGAACTTTTATTATTAGAATTATTATGAGAACGTATATGTACATGTAGTATAATTTTAATTTTAACTTTTTTCTAAATGTCATTAACATTTAATATTCAATTCAAATTCAATATATACAGATTACAGGGTGTTCGGTTTGAAATCCACTGGAGTAGTACAGTTGCGTACCTTGTCAAATTCTAAAGACTATGTGTTTTTACGTTTTTTATTTTACATATAAAAATTGTGCGATAATCAGAGTTGAATAACTATGAGGGCAGCACCAGCGTGTTGATGTAACGCTCCGAGCGCCTAATTCCGCGGGATACTTGAAAATCCCACTCGATGTTCCTTGCTGCTGGGTTCCGTTGGTAAAGAGTGGAAACTCACCTTGCGAATTTGGAAGGATATTTACGAAATAAAAGTGAATATTAAGATATAAACGTATATATATATCAGAGATGAGTAGGGAGATTGCCAATGGGCCTGTTTTTGGTGGTCTCGATTTTACTCTGGTTTCGGCGCGCTACCTTAGCGGAGGGCCCACGAATTAGTTCCACGTTTTTGATTGGTCGAATATATATAGTAATACTAGCCGACCAGGCGAACGTTGTTCTGCCATATAAATTATTTCTAGTGAATATTTTGGTTGTTAAATAAAAAATAACGAATGTATTGTAAGTGTGTGGGGATGGGATCTCTGACAAAAAGAGAAATTGAGCGCTGTAGACGATGACCGCCGATAAAAACAAAAAACACCAACCATTCATTTTCTCAATTCAATGTATTTCATTAACGTAACGGACATATTCATTGTTTGCTCTCTTAAAAGTTAAATGTAAAGTGAAAAAAAGTAATATATTTTTTATCCTAAAGTAGGAAAATGAAATAAAGAAAATCAATATTAATTTCGAAGAGCAATTAAGTGTACGATATTTTTTGTCAGTCCGTCTTTAGCCAACACAAATAAGCTCGATGGTTTGCCCACACGAGAACATGCCACGTATAATTGTCCGTGGGAAAAACATGGTGTGCCCAAATGTGTGCCCATGAAGTAGATTTGTAAAAATTTATGTGGTTCGTTTGGCATTGGCAGCAATGAGCCTAATTTGTGATACACTTGGCCTTTGATTTTGAATGTTGAATTGTATTGTTGACTACTTGCTGCAGTATTGTGAACTATTTCTGTTGCTCCGAACGAAGTCATTTGGAAGCATGAATTGAATGTGCGAATGGACTTCAGGAACAGGTTTGAATCTGGATCCGTGCCGATGAGCAAGCCGTTCAATGGTTCTGGTGGTGTCTCAATTTCTGGTAGTTACACTTTTCCTGAAGTGCAACATATCCCGGCTGACTCATGTTTGAATTTGAGCGCATGACAATAGGGACATTCTTTGCCCATCAGCACTTTCGGTTGAGCGGAATATTCAATATCTGGCTCGTACTCGAATGTGAAACGAAGGAACGAAGCGGATGTAAATGCTCGATGTACTGGTTGGCGTTGTCGGTCATTTGCTCTGCGTGTGTTAACTACGAACTGGCGCGCTTGTGTCCGTTCCAATTGTCGTTGTTGATTTCGTTCAACTCGTGCCTCTTGTGATTGAGATGCACGCAATTGCGACATGCTCACACGCATATTTTCGTTATCTTGTTGGATTTGTTCGTCTGTTCTTTCTGCTCTACTATTTTGCATGTTTGTTGCTTTATTCGTTCGACAGCCTAAATGGGCTCCGTTGCGTCTTTCTGGCATTGTTCACTGTAATACATACACACACAAATACACAAAATTGTTTTACTTACTGATGAAAAACGGTATACCGATAATGTAATTGTTCTTTTAATATTTTACCAACCTTTCTTATAAATTAATTGTTCACTGTAATACACACACACACACAAATAGACAAAATTATTGTACTTACTGATGAAAAACGATATACCGATAACGGATTTATTCTTTTAGTATTTTACCAACCTTTCTTATAAATTAAAATTGTTCACTGTAATACACACACATACAAATAGACAAAATTGTTGTACTTGCTGATGAAAAACGGTATACCGATAATGTAATTGTTCTTTTAATATTTTACCAACCTTTCTTATAAATTAAAATTGTTCACTGTAATACACACACATACAAATAGACAAAATTGTTGTACTTGCTGATGAAAAACGGTATACCGATAATGTATTTGTTCTATTAGTATTTTACCAACTTTTTTACAATCATAAAATACGTACATATTGCTTATAAATCAAAATTGACATTTCATGATGAAATGTCAAAATGACGTGCGTGCGTGACGCATGCGTGGATGAAAGTTCGATGAGGCGGACGTGGCGCCATCTATCATTCAACAACATAAATAATTTCGTTCTGTTTGAAATACGAACGACGGTTAAATTATTTCGATATTGTTCATAAAAAAAATACTAAAATCGCATATAAGATTATTGCGTATTAAGAAATGGAAGGGTGGGGGTAGGAGTGTGAAAATTTGGAGTTACAGGTATTTTATGATGCCAAATAAAAAAAAATAAAAAAAAATTGTCTGGATAGGGACACCCTAATCATCTAGCGGTATGAAATATACTTTACGATCTATTCTCATACCAACCAAATATACATACAAAATTTCATAAAAATTGGTCGAGCCGTTTCGGAGGGGTGCGACCACAAACACCGTGACACGAGATTTTTATATATGTATAACACTACGCGTGAGAATCTGCAGCTGTGTTTTGGCGCGTCGACGCGCACCTGAACGAGACTCACGAACTAGTTCCACGTTTTTGATTGGTCAAATGAATTCGTGTGTTCCTCGAGATCCTCAAGATCAAACCAGGTGAACACTCAAATAGGGAGACTTGTATTCACCTTTTTTTTTTTACAGGATATTGCATAAACCGTAGTAATAAAGTAGTCAATACTCTTAATATCCGTATGAAGTTCTGGAAATAATAGAGTAAGGAAATAAAACTTTAAACAAACCCTTCAACGTGGGTAACTCTAGAAATATAAGTTTATTAAATAATATGTCATGATTCGCTGGCACACATGCTTGGTGCTGGATCAACGTCCGAGAGTCTCAGGTTCGAAACTCACGTCTTATCTCTTTTTTTTTTTATTTATCAAGTATGCTAATTGGTTCACCTAGTTAACTTAAGATTCATTAAATATATAATTATATTAGTCTACAAATATTGTATTATATTACATCGTATAAATGCAAAGAATTGGTACATCAAACAGCGAACGTTTCTTCTTCCCGAGAGCCTACCTGTGACAAACACCTATGTTACGCTATTTCATGTTTTAATAGCATAAATAAGATTTAGACGGATAATGAAGGCATTACGGAAAATTAACAAAAACAAAAATGCAATTATAAATCTCGGGCATAAAAATAATGATAAACATATAAAAATGAACCAATTATTTTTTATAGTAAGATAAAACGAATAATGTATCTGGTTAGGGATTTTTTTTCATTTAATTTTTACCATTCAAGGCTATGTAAGGTAACATTTTTAATACATCAAATTATCAGAAAATTATGTCGAGGTATAATTTTAACTCTGAATTATTTTTTACGTCAGAACATACTGATAATTCGAGATATTAAAAATACAATTATCTTTCCGTAGGCTTGAATAAAAAAAATTTACTAAATTGAATCAGGCTACTCAAAAATGTATAAAACTAACAATTTCTAAGCAGATACACTATTTGTCTCATCTCACCATACATATGTATAAAATAATTCTGTGGGTTTTTTACGCTTTTAATTTTTTTTACCTGATATTAAAACATAAACTTAAAATAAAGTTTGGGCAACCTAGAAAGGTTAAAAGAGAGGAACCTTGAACAAATTTTGTAGTAAAATGAAAAAAAAAAGAAGATGAAAAAAGAGTTCTTCATGGGGGATCCAACCCGTAACCAGCAGCGGTATATATTGACAGGTTATTGACTCAGCCACGATGCTCCTTTAATTCTAAATTAAATTTTCTATAGATATTTATCTATGATATTTCAAAATTTCTTTTTGAACTGTTCTCGGTCGTTTTATTTACCAACGAATTTCGCCATTCATTTTTTAATGTTCTTTTTCGGCATGATAAGAGGTAAAGAGTGAAAACCAATATTTCTATGCATTTTTTATAGCTTTGAAATTGATTTGAATATACGCATTTGTTTGCGCATTACGTCCATACAAATGTTTAGGGTTCGGTTGGACGGAAGACCTTGCTGTTCAGCCTGTTTGTCAAGAACGGTTTGTGAGGGACGGCAACTTTTTCCCCACCGCCGAGCAATCCATTCATTTTCGCTGACTGCAATACCGGCTGGAACGATGATCATGACCCGCGCGGCTACGCGAAATCTGTAACATCGACAGAGGCGATGATCACGAAATCCTACTCCCGGACTCGCCGCTACGATTTAGCGCAATGCTTTTGGTATCGCCTAAAACCGGAGCGTTGTGCATCTCCCCACTCATCACTGCTGGACTAGAGTAGGCTATCCCTCTTCTAGGAGTATAAGTTCTATGCATTTTAGCGGTTACAACACGTTTTGAGTAGGGATAGTAGCGTAAGTGCTGAATACCCATATTTTTTATGTGTTAATGCAAAATAATGTCAATTAATTTGACAAAGAACAAAGACGCGCTGACTGCTGCTTGGCATAGCGTTGTGGATGATAAATCACCGACAAATTGGTAAGCATTTAAATGTTTAATTCTAAAAAATTGAAATTCACATTTTTTTAGTACATTGTTATATTTTTGTGTTCTATTCCATTCGTTCAAATATTTTCTTTTCATGTAATAACATTATGCGTCACGGTTATATAGTTTCTTATTTTCATTTGACAGAATTTAAATTAAATAGCAAATTTAGATTTTTTTAGTCTTTTTAGTTTTTATGTGTAATGGCAATATTTTTAGCGTCTGTAAAATCAAGACTGAATAGTCATGCTTTGTCATAGTAAATATTCCATGTTCCATGAACACTAATTATGTATTGTAAACAGGTTGAAACAATTCACACTAATTGCGAATAATGAGGATACTTTGACATTACTGCTAAAAGGTTAATTTTTCTTGAATTTTAATCACTGATCAATATTTTAGTAAACACATCATGAGTATTTGTATCTACATGCTTTGTTGATCAAATTTGAAACTTGGTAAAAGACAGTTGACTATTATCGTTTTACATTGTGAGAATGTTCGTTCACTAATTTTTTTTTAGAGTTAATTTAAGTAGGAGTTATTTTCTAATGAGTGTATCAGTACTAAACAGAAATATGTTAGAGCTATTTAGTCAAAAATTTGTAACATTTTGAAAAATAATTTATATTCACCTTGTAGTATTTGATACAATTAACATGAAATATAGTCAGGTCGTGACATCAGTTCCACTTTGAGATTTATTTATGTTTTGTGACATTTTGCTTTGTATGGAAATTGTCTTTCAAAGTGGAACTGTTGTTGCAGTCTGACTATAATCTAGTTATACATTATTTCATTTGATAAAGGTTCTACAGTTTTAAAATTAGTACAATAACAGAAGTATATTATACAGGGCCCTTTTTGGTTATGAAGTCCAAACAAATACATTGAAAGTGGTTGGAACAGGAGTTGGAGGATGGGAAGAAATGGTTGAAGAGCTGAATAGTGGAGACATTATGTATGCATTTTGTCGTGTTATTGACACAAAAACTAGTTTACCAAAATGTTTGCTTCTCAACTGGGTAAGTTGAATTACATATGTATACAATTTAGTAACTCCAAGTAATACTAGCAACAACATGCATGCTTTTTGTTTTGTTTGGCGGTTGCTTAAAAGTAAATTTCATCAAATTCATCTCACACTTATACTATAGTGAACATCTTGATAAGAACGAATTGATTCATTCCAATTTATCGAGCTTGGAATTTATATTCACTTTGGATTGAAATAAAAATTAAGATTTCTGTACTGAAAGTTTGGAATTTTATTTTTATTTGGAAATTTCCTCAGTTTGACTTCTTTCTATTCTCATATCAATGTGATATGCAATATTGTTTTATAATATTTTACAATGATTGAGGAGTTCTATCGAAAAAGACGACAAGCGCTCGAAATTCGGTAAAAGTGTTGTCCAAATTGGTGGAAAATACAAAGTCCGAAATGTGGTAAATAAAAAATACGACTGGATTCGGCTGGTCCAGACGCATCTTTTATTTTTGAACCATTTTTTCGTATAAAAATTGGTTTTCAAGATAAAAAATAAAAACTTACTTTTTTTCACCTGAAAAAACGCGAGTTATGATGACGACAGGATCCTTACTGATAAGATACAAAGACACCGGAAACTAAGGTGTCTTTATACAGAACGATCAGGAGGAAGCCAATGAGAATTGACAGCTGAATCGAGCAGCATCACTCATATTAATAATCATTTAGAGTTAAGTTTATTTTTGTAATTTTTTTAAAAAGTATAAATTCACATCGAACAACATAGTTCGCGTTAAATTCAATGTTTTTTAAAACCAAAACTTCGGTCCGGATTCATGTATTCGTTTTCTTCAAACTGCAATTTTTCGGCTCCATGTCAACAGATTTTATTCAAATTTCGAGCGGGTATTCTCGAAGCTCCAGCGAAGATAACTGTTCGATACAAAGTGTCGAGTATCATTCAAACGTTGACAACCAGCATATTTAGGAGACATTTGATGAGACTTTCATAATGAAAAACTTCCTCGCTGGGTGAAATATAAAAAACACGGTTTTTGTTTTGTATTAAAATATTTATCAATAATATGGCACTGCAACATTGTGATCTACACCATAGGCTTCGCGAAAAAGTCATGGACCTACAGTTTAAATTTAAAGCGATTCGGTCTAGTATTTGCCAAAACGAAGTTTTGGTTTCAAGAAACATTAAATTTAACGCATTTTTTCAGGTGAATAAAAGTAAGTTTTTATATTTTATCTTGAAAACCAATTTTTGTACAAAAAAATGGTTCGTACATAAAAGATGCGTCTGGTCAAGCTGAATCCAGTCGTATTTTTTGTTTACCACATTCCGGATTTGTACTTTCTACCAGTTTGGACAAAACTTTTACCGGATTTCGAGCGCTTGACGCTTTTTTCGATTTGTTAATAATAACAAAAAATAATAAATAAAAACTATTCTACATTATACTACGATAAATAGGACTGTTGACAACATAGTATTTGAACATGTCAACATTTTGCGTACTTTTAGATTTATTTATTGTTCGTTAAATATTACAATGTAGTATAATAGGTAAGTAATAAAAGCACATTGTAGCAACTCAAACTAATACGCGGAGTTTATTTTTATCCCCCAAAAAACACTTACGTGTAAAAAACTACGCCAAGTATAGGAGTGCTGTGTATTCCTCTAATAAAAAGTATTGATATCAGATTATTGAGGCCAAGTACATAAGTCACTACATGATTGCCTATTATATGATCTATCACTGGCCCATCATTTTAGTTGTATTTTCAAAATTTCCGATAACGTTTTCACTACTCTTTTACATTACTACTGTTTGTCGTAGTTGATCATGATTTAATGGTTATTTAATAATTAATGAAACTTTAGCTGATTCCTTATCGAGTACTACTTGGCGGGTCCGTGCATTTCTTGACATAAATTGGCATTCATTATTGCAGTCATCAAACTCAAAGCTAATGTCAACTTTTTATATAGAGCTTATTAACAATAACTCGTTAAAAATAATCACGGTAAAAGCCTAATAACAAACATATAGTTTTAGGATACTATTAGTACGTTCAAAGTAAGTACTTTGAAATTCCTGGCACGGACCTGCCAAGTAGTACTCGATAAGAAATCATCTAAAGTTTTATTAATTATTAAATGACCATTAAATCATAATCAATTACGGCAAGCAGTAGTAATGTAAATGAGTAGTGAAAACGTTATAGGAAATTTTGAAAATACAATTAAAATGATGGGCCATTGCTAGATCATATAATAGGCAAACATGTAGTGACTTATGTAGTTGGCCTAAATAATATGATTTCAATACTTTTTGTCACAGGGATTCACAGCACTTGTACTTGATGTAGTTTTTTACACGTAAGTGTTTTTTTGGGGGATATTTTCTCCCCGAAAACCACTATTTGACACGGTAAATATATTTCAAAGACAGGCAGTACATGTAATACATTTTCTCTGTGCATGCTCTGATACATTTGCATGATTCCACCTTTACTGAACAAATTTCAACCAGTCCCGAAAAAACCGACGTCATTCCAAAGGTAATTGAATTTCCTAAAACCTACTTTTTGATTTTTTAAAATAGGACTTGGTTTGGCTGAAATTGGAAAAGAAATTACTGTTCCACTTCAAATAGTAATTAGATTATAAAAATATAATAATAAAACAAAAACAGTTTTAGAGATTAGGTCCCCGCCAGTTTTTCATGATAATAATTGATATTTTTAGTATTTTATTGCCCCCACTTTCAAATTAGAAGCACAACTTTTAAATGTTAGGTCTGTCCGTTAATCCATAGCTCTTTCTCTTACATCCCTTCGCTAACGTTTTGCGTTCGCGTTCTTTTCGTTGTTTTCCAAGACGAATCCATTCTTTTACAGTTTGCTCAAAGTCTGCTTCTGTATAGTCAGAGAAATTATTGCACACCGAATCTGTAATTAGACATAAATGTCCAAGACATATTTTGATTACATCAAAATTGTAAACCCTCCAAATTATGCACTTTAGAATCTGTTGTATATATAATTTTATCACAAAAACAATGCCAATAATAATCGACTCTAAAAAATTAAAAATACCTTTGATAATTTCAACGACGGAGAGATCATAAATTTCGAAATTCTGTCCTACTCTTTTCCATGTAACTACACTTGCAACCTGAGTCGAAAAAACTTTGATGAATACACGTTCAATCATTTCCTTTGCAGACTTTCCGCTGATTGGTTAAACTTTTCTCTGAGATTTAAATACTTACGAATTGCAATTTAGCTTCTTCTGAGCTTATGAGCAACTTTTCGATGTTTTCGATGGTAGCTAGGTCGTTCAATGGCAGCAACTGTTTTATCAACCTCGTATCAGCGTTAACTTCATTCTTGTTTCGGTTCTCGGTTCTTGGGTCTCGGTTCTTGTTTTTTAATTTTTTCATAGAAGCCTTTGATATCGACTTGAAGACTAGCAATCATACGTATAATAATTTTACCTTGCTCTAAAATCCAGAATAACACGTTTAAGTATTCAAGTAAAACAAAATCAAATATAATAGAACAGTATCAATGTACCTGTGCATAAACAAGAACAGGATTGTTGTTCGGCCGCCATCGCTGTATCAGCTTCTTCAGAAGGGCGTTTTTCTCCACCCGTTGCAGTTGATTTTTTTTTCAGTCAAGTCTATGAATAAAGAAATTATTTTTATGAAATCTGAAGGAAAAATTGGTTAAAATAATAATGTATAAAACTTGCCTGTACCCAGGCAAATTTATATGGCTTTTGCCACTAACCACACATTTACAATACGAAACTATTATTTCCGTTTGTTGCCTTCGATCCACAGTTTTCGTTCTTAATTGTCCGTATGTGTTTTTATGCTAATTTGAAGTATATTTTGTCGATTGAGTAGCAGTGAATTGTAATGACCAAACAATGATTTTGGAATCGTTGATAGTTTCACTCCAATTTTTAATTTATTTATTTTTGATGAAATAACCGTTTTCGAAGAAACAAGGCATAAAAGTGTGGTATTCACAATTAAAAATACTATTATTGGTGTTAATTCGGGATAGCTGCAATGAAATTTAGTTCAGTAACATATTTGATTCACAAGTTATAGTCGTATCTTCTTAAACAGATCATTTTAATCAAAAAAAGAATTCTCGCCTTATCTGCGTGGACTATTTTTATTTTAATATTTTAATATATATTGACGAATTACAATCTGATATTTCCAATAACAATAAATAATTTTTCTGATAGTGAAAAAAAAGGATTAAGAGTAGGCGTCCACTGATGCCTTATTCTCTGGTTTTGATTACGTCACGATGATTTGCTCTATTTAAAACGATCCAGTAGATCCAGAGGCTTAAACCTTTTTAGTCTTCTGACTACTAAATTCCTATTTAGTAGATTTGTCGCCAGTTCGTTGGGATGAGTCCTAAGTCGTTCTTCGTAACGTTCACTGTACCGCTCAAGTTTCTTTTTTACCATTTCTATCTTAAGGTCTCTGTGGATTGCCGCATTTGTCACGTACCAGGGAGCGTCAAGCACCAACCTCAGTGTCTTTGACTGAAATCTTTGAATTATATCTAGGTTTGAGTTGCAGACTGCTCCCCACATTTGTATTCCGTAGGTCCAGACTGGCTTTATAATTACTTTGTAGATGATTAGCTTGTTGTAAAGAGAGAGTTGGGATTTCCTGCCAACAAGCCAATACATTTTGCGTAGTTTTAGTTCCATTGCTTTTCTTTTTGTTTTAATGTGCTTGGTCCATGTTAGTTTCCTGTCCAGGTACATTCCGAGATATTTTACTTCGTTAACACTTGGTAGAGGTCGTTCATACAGGTTGACGGTGGAGCAGTTCCCTTTTCTCGTAGTGAATGTGATATGTACTGACTTCGTTTCGCTTGCTCTTATGCGCCATTTCTCCAACCATGTCTGAATATCGAACAGTTGTCTTTGAAGAATTCTCGATGCTATTTCGGGGTCATTGTGTGCTGCTAGTATAGCAGTGTCGTCCGCATACGTTGCTACCGTGACGTCTCTTCTTATTGGCAGATCCGCGGTATACAAAGTATATGGGACTGGTTCCAGCACGCTTCCTTGAGGTACTCCAGACTTGATAGGGTGGGATTCTGATATGTCGTGTCCATGTTGTACGTAAAATCGTTTGTTATGTAAGTACGATTTAAGGAGTGGGTAGTAACGAGATAGGTTTGTTTTTATTTTGTAGAGTAGACCGGGGTGCCAAACTTTGTCAAAAGCTTGTTGGATGTATAGGAAAGCTGCGGAGCAGTACTTCTTTTCTTCAATTGAGTTTGAGATTACGTTATAGACTCTGTTGACTTGCTCTATTGTTGAGTGATTGTTTCTGAAGCCAAATTGGTAATCAGGTATGAGTTTATCTTCGCTTAGTGGAGTTTTCAGCCGCACTAATAGTAGTTTCTCAAATAGTTTTGACATAATCGGCAGTAAACTTATCGGTCGGTAGGATGTAACTTCATTTGGTGGCTTACTAGGTTTCGGGATCATGATAATTTGTGCTACTTTCCATTGGCTGGGTATGTATGACATGCGGATGACTGCATTAAATAGCGTTGTAATGTAGACAATCGCTTTTTTTTGGGAGTTCTTTGAGGATTTTGCCAGTAATTAGGTCGTAGCCAGGAGATTTGTTTGGGTTGAGTTTTCTGGATATCAATGTTTTTACTTCTCTTGGAGACACGCAGGCAATTGGCAGATTCATGGGCAGAGGGCAATCCAGGTATTCTAGGAGTTCCATGTTGTCTGCTTGACCCCGGACTGGTGTGAATACTTCTGAATATGTTGATTACTCAAATAATTAATTAATTATTTAATTAAAATTTAAAGAATATTAAATAATTATTTAAGTTTAAATAAAAATTAAAAACTTACTTCAGAACGCGAAATCATGGATATTAATCCTCATCACGTTTTTTATCTTTTTAAATCAATGTTTGAAGAACGCTATGGGTGTTTTAATATATCTAATTTAAAAAACCAAAACAGTGTTGATTCTAATATAGCTACTGAATTATTTAATATGTTTATATCGTTATGCGATGAATCATCTGAAATAATAATTGAAGATTCTTTGGACATGAATAGAGAAGGTTCTGAATTTGTAGACAATGAAGATGGTAACGAAAATAATATCAACGAACTTGATGATTCTTTATCACAAGAGTTTAATTCTCAAGTAAGTCTCACTGATTCTTCAGACTTTTCACCTACTACAAAAAAAAAGAAAATCTGAAATCGAGGATGACCATTTTTTGGAACCAAATTTGAAGAAAAGAATAATTACAGCTGAAGGTTACGATTTCTTCTGTGAAATGGAAACTTCTTTTAAAAGTGAACCATTTTCATTTAAAAGTGTGAAAAAGATTGTTGAAATGAAAGATGTCGAGAATCGAAGTTTTAAATCCATTCAAAAATTATATCCTCGTTTACAGTCAACACATAGAAGTACAATAGATTTCGAAAATATGTAGAAAGTAAAGGAACTTTTTCATTTAAGATGTACGAAATAGAAAAATATATAAAAAATAAATTTACCGAAGCAAGAGAAAAACGTTTACCTGTTCATGACATTGATCTCCGTCGCTGGGCTATTGAAGAAGCAAGAAGAATCGAATTAAACAAATTTAAAGGCAGCCCTTCTTTTATTAAAAATCTGAAATTTCGGCTTCGTATCTGTTCAAGAAAAGTAACTAAACTGGTAACCAAAAATTATTCAAATGAAAAAGTTGAAACAGAAGAGCGAAAAGCTGCTCACTTACAATTTACCAACTCTAAAATACCTCAATATAATTTGGATTTTATAATGAATTCTAATCAATCTGGTTTTTCAAAAGAATATTTTTCAACAAGAACTTTAAGTTTTCGTGGCGAGAAAGATACATTACAATCAGTAAAAAGTATTTCTAATACCACTCATTCTTATACAATTCAACCAATAATCACAGCATCAGGTAAACTTTTATCTCCTATGTTAATATGCTTACAAGAAACTACTGGTAATGAGTTTGGACCCCGTGTTAGTTTAGAAATAATAAAAAATACACCGAATAATTTAATAGTAGTTTGTAGTAAATCTGGAAAACTGACGAAGGAACACGTTAAAAAATGGCTTGCCGGTTGCTTAATACCTCAAATTAAAGAAAAAACGTTAGTTTTATTAGA